TTTGTTCCAGTTCAGCTTTTAGTGTTGCTTGTTGTAATAGCAGTGCATGTTTGTCCTTTAACCCAGCTGCTCTGGGTAGCAGGGCAGCCTTTTCAGCAGATGCTCTTCTACATGCTGAGGAGACTGAAGAGGTTGTTGAGCTCCTTGACTTGTGTGAAACATTAGAGATGCTGTCATGGGGATGAATCTTTGATTGTGCCATTCTTTCTCTTTTCCACACATCCACATCTTTCATACAATATTCAAAATGTGTAATTTTTGGCTCAAACCAGTCCACATGATCCTCCTCTCTCTCTTCCTCTGATAAAAGCTGCTGTACGGATCCATGAACACTGCACAAGTCATTTATATTTTGTTTGAACATTTCCTAAGCTTCATTCACATGTTCCACATTCCCATCCTCCACAAGCAAGGCCTTCATTTCGTTCATTTTCCTTGTGTATGCTCCTAATTTCACACTGCCGGAGGCTTTGAGTGATTTTAACAATGTTCCTGCGTCAGCAGAAGTCCTGGGATCGTCCGACATTATTTATTTGTTTGTTTTTAGGCCGTGCGTAAAAGACGTTGCGCTCCTTTAATGAGTCTCACCGAGCACGCCTGGCTTCCTTTGTTGCACAAACAAATTCAATCACATTCTTTTCACAGACGATCCACAGGTATTTACAATCCTCCTCCAATGTGTGCATCGCTGTTATGATTTCCTTTTAGACATTAACACGTCCGACATTCCATTCAATGAGTACACGGATTTATTCCATTTATTTACTCACGACCGGCCCAGTCTGTCCGCTCCGGTGTGTCCCTCTTTTCCGGGGCTCCAAACGGTGTGTGTCTCTTCCTTACGGAGTTTTTCGACTTGATGTAATGGCATCAAGGGTTTCCTCTCTGCCACTATAGAGCGGGGTTGACGACACGCAATCCAAGACAATAAGCAGCCGAAGGTTTTCAGTCAAAAAATTTAATTTATTAACAAAAAAGTATTGACTTAAATAGTCTCAAAATAACAAATCTAAATCAATATTTCGGCGGTATGCTTTCCTATATAAACTATACTTTGCAGTCCAATTTGCAACACTAATCTCTGTTTACAATTTGCGGTAGAAAAACTGTTCCGCTCCCCGTCTCATCAGGTCTCCGAGCACGCCGGCTGTCCTCAATTACCTCACTTAAATACACACCGGAAGGTACAAGGAAACAGATCATATTTACGATATAAAATTAACAATCATTTCATCAAAACATATTCACCATGGCAATATAAATCATTTTCCATCGTTAAATCATTTATCAAATTATAAATCGAAATAATAACTTTGTGGCTCTAACACATACAAACCCCAAAACACATTCCGGAAGTGCTCCAGGCCTCTAGGGGGCGCGCTACGTGGAACAGATTGATGTCTGACCAGACATAGAGAGAACGAACAAGAGTGATAGAAATCGGGAGGAAATAAAGTTCATTTAAGTGGAGAAAGATATAAGAAGGTAAGTTTTGTTTTTATACATAGAGCGTCATATTTATATAGTCAGCGTGCCTAACTACTACACCAGCTGAGGAGAGCTTCACATGAAGAGAAGATAAAGTGAGGGAAGAACATTGTTAAAAGAGATGACAAATTAAGTGCAAAATAACACGGGCCATAGTGAGTACCGCGGAAAAAGGACATTTGAATTCACTTTTTTGTATTGTATCTAGGGTTGGGTACCGAGAACCGGTTCTGAACCGGAACCGGTTCCAACATTTCGATTCCAACGGCATCATTTAGAAATGTGAATTTCGATTCCGCTTTTCGATGCCTGAGGAAATGTTTCTCGCCGCTCTCCGTAGCCTACTGTATGACTGCGGCGGGGCGGGAAATGTAGCGTTGTACCTACACTTCCTACAGCGAGCAACTACCCATGTTCGCCTAGGGCGCCAGATCTGTGGAGGCGCTGCGCTGACATCTCTGGGAGGAAACAAAAAATGTTTTGACCGTTGGGGCTCATCCTAATTTTCGGCCTTGATGTAACAACATTCATAATTAAGTAAATGTAACACCCTTTTCATCCCGGTTACACTTTTCATTTGCCCTGTGCGATGGGGCTATAAGTGATGAAAATGGGGGATGTTGGCTTATCTGGCACCCGCAGCTCACAGCCAAAATGCGAGTGAGCGTGGGAGCGAGCGAGGGAGAAAAGGAGGGTGCACCGGTAAGCGCTGTTGTTATTAGCATCTGGTGCTAGCTGCTCTAACGGAAGAAGAAGATGTTTCTACAATGATGTGGAGGGAGAGTCCTCTCCAGTCAGACTGAGAGGCTGATAACTTCAGCTCAGTGAGGTAAAGGACTGAGTGTTTAGATAGTTCACTTTAGTCTAAGTTATCTCAGTGGGTCTCAAACGTTTTGATCACAATTTATGTAAACACATATTTCCAAGGCACTACTTTATAATTATTGGGATAAAACAGGTTTGAAATCATTCCAATGTATACTATAGGTAAGTAAACCAGACATATCGTTTTAAACTGGAGAGATACAAACATATGCATAAATAAAATAGTAAAATAAGATATGAATGAACAACAAAAATAAAATACGTTACATGTATTTGTTATTGGCTATGGTAGGTTATTGGTTATGTTCACATATTTAATTATTAAAATGTAAACCGATCTTTTTCATATGGGTGTTTAGAGTTGTACCCCCTAGATCTAGTCTAGTAATTCTGCTTAAAGTGCACCAGATTGAAGCATTTTACTTTAAAATGTTCAAACATTTCTTCCCGGTATGCCTGAGAAGGCAGATATGCTTGTTTTTCTCAACAAGAACTGTTCTTTAAAAGTTGGACTGTTGCATTGTTGTAGCTTCAGTGGTTCTCAGGTTACAGTTACATAGCAGTGAATATAAACAGACTGATTAATGTGAATATTACTGTAAACTAACCTGTGTAAAAGTTTCTGGAATAAATGTAATTTTTTTGGTGGAAGAAGCATGTATCATTTTTTTACCCTGCCCCTCAAAGAATCGGAATTGAGAACCGTTAAGAACCGGAATCGAAAAGTAGAATCGGAATCGTGGAAATTCAAACGATACCCAACCCTAATTGTATCTGTTTCAAATTCAAGAAATAAGGATTCAACACACTTCTCTGTTTAGAATACTAATTGGCAGATGCATACACTAGTTATCAGCATGAAGGACACATTTATTCATTGTCTGTTTATGTGAAATATGTAGAAGCCATCATTAAAGGAATGCTCCACTCATTAGATAATTAATCAAAACTTCAGTATTTAGTGAAACATTATGTTTAAACCATACCCTGAAGAAATCAGCGATATTCCCCGGTAAATAATGATTTTATAGCTCTTTTTTTATCAAAACCTGTATATTCCGTCAGGCCGCTGCCATTTTGCCCATTTTCAGTAGTCACGTGATGGTCGTGACGTCATCCATGCGTTCACTTTGTAAACACACGAAAACATGGCGAAGTTTTGAGCAATATGAAGAGATTGGATGGGGGAATTCAGCCATACAGGTTCGAGCCTACTTAGTACTACTTAGTAGATACAATGATTTTGATTACTAGATATGTATGCATGTAGTACCACCCTTGCTAGCGATTCCCTCTCTAGTTTAGCATACTCAGCCTCGTTGTCCCTGGCCCTAGAACCACGATTTTATGGGGCCGGAAAAACTGGGGGAAATTACCCGCTAGCCGGTACAACGCTATATGGAAAGGCCACCAAAAACTGGCCTGGCCTGGACGATAAAGGACGTTTAAACGGGGCTACCCGCTGCAATGGAAATGCGCTATAACATACCTTATTCTTACTCCGAGCACTACTTCAGGTCCTCCATCGCTTCACACTTGCAGAGGGCGATTTCTCAACTGGCCGAACTGGTGTCCTGGTCGGTGATGACACCAGAAAGACCGATGGTACTGCATCTCCATTAAGTAATGGTTGTTCAATAAATCCCATGTTATGTTTTATCATACTCTCAGAGTAGTCGTCCGGAAACTTGAAATGTTCGCTGCATACATGCGCCTGTGGATCTTTCGGTTCGGGCCGGCCACATGTCACTAGCCACTGCCTCCGAACGTACTTCCTACGCTTACCTTTTGGCAACAGATGGAACCGAGCATTCCGTGGATTGTTCCTATCTGAATTGTGGCAATGTTTCGCGATACAATGAGGCATATTTGAAGAGAGTAACTACAGTAAATAACATGAACATCAACGTGTCCTCGAAACCAAACGAATGGTTTACGTCACGTCCGGTAAAATGGCGCCGCCCACAGTGTTGATGTTATTTCGGTAATTAATCAGTTTAAAATCACTGATAATGTCATCGGATTAAAAAAAAAAAAAAAGAGAGAGACTGGCAGAGACTGGTCTGTTTTATCGGATGATAATTATTTAAAAATGAGTGTCATGAGCATACCATTCCTTTAAATTGTAGACCAATGCATGATTAAATACACAAAACAGCTTATATTTAAGCAATCATACACGAGAGGCCGTTCTTGAACGTCATTATTGGTACGACAGTACTGCGGCAGGACCGAGGCGCTTGCGCCGAGGTCCGTACGCCTGTACGTACTGGAGTACGTATTGCATTGGTCTCCGTACTGGAGTACTGGAGACCAATGCATGATTAAATACACAAAACAGCTTATATTTAAGCAATCCAGTACGCCGAGGTCCAGTACAGGCGTACGGACCTCGGCGCAAGCGCCTCAGTCCTGCCGCAGTACTGTCGTACCAATAATGACGTTCAAGAACGGCCTCTCGTGTATGATTGCGATTCTATTACACAAACTATCATTGTAATCAACAATATCGTAAAATAATTTCATAATGTGGGCTAATTTGTTCCCAAACCTACGCTTTCTGCTTGAGTTAATCTCCGTCAGAAAGTAGTTCCTAGAAAGTAGTTCCCATGGTAACGATAGCCGATCAATCGAACACTCCTGCTACCCCGCTTACAGTTATTGATATAATTATAGTAAATAATATATTATTAACCAATTTATTGAAAACAATTCTTGAATTAGGCTATTTAAATATCTGAGTAATCACTGTGTGGGATTAGCGGAACAAATCAAATCAGGCTGTCCATGGTGCTGAAACATTTTGGGTTCAGAATGAAGGTGGATGTTCATGCTGCCATTAAAAGTGCAATTCTTGAAACAGCTCTCCATGAACTCCATGCCAGACTTTTTTGCAGGTGGTGCTGTGGTGTTCACGGGTAGGTCTACGTTATAGGAAGAGCTTTCCTCCAGTGGCCGTTTCATGGCGTGTCCCGGACCGGCAAAAAGCGCGTTGCTCCACACTTTTTTCCAACGCACTCAACTCGTCAGTTGAAACAGCAGCAAATCTTTCGTTGGTTTTGTGGTCTGTGTCCTTTAAAATCTGACATTTTGTAGCTACCGATTTCCAACAAGAGACAATGACAGTGTAACGGCTGTGTGTCGCTAAACGTCGCTATGGAAACCACACGATGTAGGCTCATGGAAGTAGTTTCGGTAGGCTAGTGGCGTGTGTAGGCCACTGGATACTTTGTGATTAGGCACGTTCTATTTGATCGTTGTTTGATCGTGGAATCAAACACGCCTATTGACTAATCAGAGAGCTTGCTCAAACCTATGTGTTATAGAATATACATTCATAATTGTGTATTAGTTATATCTTTAAAGAGAACATTATACATTTAGAATCAGATTTTGAGACAGTGAGCGGCTGGGAAAGTCACACCGCCATGGGGCACAAACAGTTGCTGACGTGATGTTTTCTTCGCATTCTCAGGCATTCCATAAGGAGGGTCAGGAACTCATGCTTGGGACCACCAGTGTCCACTCCATCCTCAGTGTGTCCCTCATCATCAGTGAACTTAACTGACATGAGAGGGATCGAATGAGGCACCTTTGAAGCCGCGGATTGCTCCATCCCACACATTGGCTCCATTAATATTGAACCTGCTGCAAGATGTATTTGTTATTGTTGCAGAGAGTTCTGCAACAATGTGTGCCGCATTCAGGTATTCTGTGCTGGGAAAGACAAAGTGATGTATTGTAATATTAAATGATGAAGCTAGTAATAAGATTTACAGTATAGATAGAACAATTAAGTGGTAATAGTAACAATTAATACCGTTGCTCCATTTTGTCTTCTGGCTCAGACTGGCTATCAATAATGATAAGTGCATACATATTTGTGTAGTTGCTGCAGTGAGAAGACAGTTGAATAATTATTTTCAAATACATAATATATGCATGACAGTCATATTTACAAAAGGATGTCGATCCTCTTGTTTTTTTTTCAATACATTGGGTTCTAAACTGACAACAGCACTTTTGTCATACTCCTGCACAATCCTTGTAAATGTTTGAAATGGATGCAAGAAACAATATCTGATCTTTGAAAAATATTTGTGGGTGTTTTTTGTATCGTCTTCACTAAGATGTTGTGGGTGTCATTTGGAAATGTATGAAAGTATAATTGTTCTGCTTCCTGGCAATATTACCCACTGTGATTGGAGGCTATACAAACAAACACATGTAAAAATAAAGATACACACCACACAACTGTGTCTCGATGCAACTGTCAACATCGTTTACCTATAGAAGTGGTTCTGACCCGGGGCAGACTGGACCTCTTCCTGGAATGGGGTTGGTGCTCCATCCTATTTTTACCCAGGAAACAAGTGCACACAAAGGTATTTATTGATTTCATGTTCACAAATTCAAACCTACATGGTATAATTACATGTTTAATTAGTCTTACCCGATCAGACGCTGGTTGTGGGTGCCTGAGAGGTCTGATAAGGTAAACAACAAATATATTCAAACTACTGTACTGTTAAAACATTCTGCTTCTTCTGGCACAAAATAATATGTTGACAATGTTTTATTTTACCCTGGCAAACTATTGTCCATTCTTGGAGTGCTCACTTTTGGAACATTTGGAATGTCCCACACATGCATACACACAAATGACTGACTGAAATCAAATAAATTCACTTTAATTAAGAATAAATGACACGATAAATCCAAACTGACAAAGGTACATTATATTGTTGACCGTCCTTTAACTCTCACATTAGGATTTACATTGGGGCACAATAAACCAACTTCTCTCTGCACCTATAATATATCTATATGATGTCAAGAGTTACATTTAGGTGCACAGTGCTGTCTCTTGACTTGCAAACTCTTTTACCAAACAAGCTAACGCTAGCTGGGTAAATATGACGCTCTTTGTATCAAAGCAAAACGTACCTTCTTATATATCAACTTTTTCCACTTCGATCAACTTTGTTTCCTCCGGCTTCAATTTGCAGCACTCTTGTTCGTTCTCTCTATGTCTGGTCATACGTCTGCTTCACGTAGCGCGCCCCCTAGAGGCCTGGAGCACTTCCGGAATGTTTTTTTTTGGTATGTGTTTTGGGATTTGTATTTGCTTTGGACTTTGCATATGGTGCAGCGTTTTTTTGTTGCGTTTGTTTTCGGGGTTTGTTTGTTTTTCATTTCATTATTTGCAGGTGTTTCCTGCTAATGTATGCGTTTTGGGCCGTTGTTTGTTTGCACCTGCCGGCCACCGTACTCTTGGCCTAAACTCTTTTAGTTCATCATTTAAGAACGGGAGAGTGAAAATAATGATTTGTGGAAATCAAAAACAAGGCATTTAATTAATACTTTGAATATTAATGACTAAAGAAATAGATTTGAAAATGTATCGTAAAGAAACACTCAGCCATGCATGAAATAACATAGCTAAATATTATGGATCATTTTTTACCCATGTTGTGCCTTAGAAGTGTAGTTTTTCTGTTGTATTTGTTTTCAGGATTTGTTTGTTTTTCATTTCAGGATTTGCAGCTTTTTCCTGCTAATGCATGCGTTTTTGGCCGTTGTTTTTTTGCACCTGCCGGCCACCGTACCAGTGTGATAAAAATGCAAAAAGAAATGCATACTATCATTTTGTTAATAATTTTAGCAGTGATTTGGACCAAGCATGTATGATGTAGTAATACAAAAACTATTTTAGTTCACACAGTGTGACATTAGCTAGTCATGTTAGCTTGTAACATATAGAGCAGCGCTAACTAGCAAGTTAGCTAAACGTTAGCGGTTAGCCGTTTATGCTATGCTAGCTGTTGACTAATGAACATTAACTAACTGGATACCGCTGTAAGAAAGCTGTGAAACTTTACAATAAACTTGGCGACAACACTGTGACACCCCGCTGCATGTTTATGTGTAATTCTCCCGTGTTGGAGATGAGAGGATGGCGCAGCACTGCAATAAGCTGTAAGCTAACGTTAGCTGCCACCGGTTAAGCCAGGTTTCCCGGGCGCAACATCTTGCAAGAAACAGCATCTCAGGGCTTCTTAACATTTAGCAACCTATTAATGATGCATACCCACTTAACGGGAAGAAACTCAGCTAACTAGAAGAAGAAACGTAACCTAAAATAAAAAATAAAACATTCACAAACTAAGGATATTCTAAATACATGTTTGACTCCATTACAGTCGCAGGACTCACCAGATCTCAAGTCTTCTGTTCTTTGTTGACGTCCCGATGCTCATATTTAACGTGTAGATGTAAAACGATCCCGATATTAATCCATAAACTCCTGCAGCAGAAATACAGGAGACCCGCTCAAACTGACGTGGATGTTTCAAATGTGAACGACAGGCGCGGACAGTTCTCATTGGCAGGTTTCTTCGATGACATTTAACCAATCAGGTGTTGTGGACTCATTCCAAACATGCCTGACTTGTCTGCCGTGTTTTGGCTGAATTCTATTTCAAGTGCCGTAGCTCTGGCTGTCGGCCAGAATCCGAAAACCATACATGATACTGCATGTAAGAAGACTATAACTACCCCTTATTACTGTATATTGACCAATGGAGACAAAAAACACAGCAACATAACAAATAAATAAAACAAGGTTAACTGTGACTTATTGTTGAGTAAATAACAGCGTGTGTGTGTGTGTGTGTGTGTGTGTGCGTGTGTGTGTGTGTGTGTGTGTGTGTGTGTGTGTTTTTTTAAACCTTGGTCTTCCCTGCAGGGATTTCTCCACTTTCTATGATTTTTATTTTTTTTAATGATATTGTAGATATTGTAGATATTGTAGATATTGTAGATGTTTACAATATAGTAAGTTAGGAATTTCATGAAAGCATATTTATTTACTTTTGTTTCAACACTGGATATTTTGTGTTTGTGGTGGATTCAATCGAATATTGAGAACATGATTTATGTAAAAATGTTTTACTTACATTTTACGTTTTTTTTATTTGACACTTTTGTTTTGTTTTATAGTGTACCTTAAAATTACAAAGAAATATCTTAAAGTCTTATAATAGTAATACACTTTTATGAGTTACATATTTAATTGCAGATAATAATTTTTATTTTACATACATCTGCATGTATTTTCTGAAAGTGCAAAAATACTGTAAATATGATATAGTAAATGTACTTTAAATTTGTTGTTATTGTCAAAATACTTAAAATAATGTGTTGGGTTGTTAAGTTATAGTTCATATCTGTAATTTTACAGGATTTTGCAAGTCATTTAAAAAAACATGATAATTACTATAACATTTTTATTATTTCCTGTAAAATTAGGATCTTTTTTTACAGTGTGTAGAATGTCTCAGTTCAAATCTTCCAGACGGTTTGAGAAGTAGGCTATGCTGCAGGACACACACCGGTTAGAATAGTCTATTCTGCACATGTGCAATGATGCACAATTCAAACTTTACAGTAATGGGTTGTGCTATTATTATGGATGATTTTGAGTACAGTGCTTTACTGTGAAATAATAGTTAAATAATGTCAAATCCAATTTTACTGTAGTTTTATAGATATGTTGTTGTGATATTACAGGGGCTTTTGATTACAATATTTCTCTGCAATGTGATACTCTTAAATGCTGTGAAATCCTTGCAATGTTTACAATGTTGTTGTGATATTACAAAATGTGATGTGATATTACAGAGGATTTTGATTGCAGTATTTCATTGTGAAATAATAGTTAAATGCTGTGAAATCCAAGGATACAGTCCTTTTTACATGTATTTGTTGGGATATTACAGGGGGCCTTGATTACAATATGTCACTGTAAAATAATACTGTTAAATGTTGTGAAATGATGGTACATTTTTACAGTGTCCTCTATTAAGCAATAATCTGCAATAAGTTTACTGTGTGTTTAATGTGAGAAAAATAAATCCTAAAACTATTTTGCACATTTATTTATTGCCTAAAAATAGCATAATAGGAGACCTTTATTAATGAAGAATTATTGAAAACCATCAGCAGTAATTCATGAACACTTCTCTCTCTCTGCAGACGTCGAAGCCTTTGCCAAAGCCATGGAGACGGAGACAAAGTCGGACCAGGACGGAGACTCCGAGGACAAGAAGGACGACGACGAGGACATGAGTCTGGACTGAGAGCTTAATATTTAACGTATTTATTTAGCTGCTACAGCTGTTTTGTAACTATTACACATTAAGGATGAAGATCTAAGATTAATATAGAAACTGTCGCTAAGACCCTCCCTCCCCCCTGATTAATATAAACTGAGCAGTTATTAAACCTGCATGACAACTGTACATCCTGAGAAATAAACTCTGCTATGTGTTTATTGGTTTTGTGAAGGATTACTTTATTGTAGACTCAACAGCTTCATGAACTCTATTCACTATTAGATGTTTACCTTAAAACAAAACACAAAACTCAGGAAGACTGTGGTGTTTCTGAAGATTCAATTGAAAAAACATTCATTTTTCAATATGATGATGATGAATATCCACCCGTTTGACGCCATACAAGTACAACATGTACAAGTACACAGATCTGTTTTGTGTGTTTATTGTAATACATATTATTTTAGCATTGCAAACAAACACAACATCAACATTTAATCAGCAAGACTCTGACATGTCAACGTTAAATATAACATCTTAGAATATTAAAGTACGTGTCATTTAAATAGAGCTAATTACTCTATTTTTCGAAATACTTGCTTTGTGTTTCCTTCCTGTTTTTTTCGATGTACTGTGCCATGACTTTTTTTTTTAAATACTGTACTATGAGTTTACACACTATAAGTATTTTTTTTACATACTATACTATGAGGTTTTTTTCAAATACTGTACTACGACTTTTATTCAAATTGTATCAACACACAACACTATTTATTCGAGATACTATACTAAGTTGTTTTTGTCTGATATTTTCGACGTACTGTACTATGACTTTTTAGTTAACAACCTATACAGTGATGTTTTTAAACAGACTTTAATATGGACTTGAAACGCTATACCATGATTTTTTAAAACGTTTTTTTCAGACTTTTTTTCCTAAATGTCAAGGAATCTAAATAAATGTTCCTCTACAGCAAACATACATCTATGTTTTATTGACAGATCCATGTATTTTGTAATTTAACACAGTATTTTGTGCGATATACGATAATAATGTAATGGTCAGATCAAGTCTGAAATGTTACATCACAGCAGCTCCATTTGCAACATCAACAAGGACAGATATGAAGACATGATATTATTTAGATATCTTGACATTTCGGACAAAAAAGTTGAAAAAAGTCATTCTATAGTCCATCCATCTTCTCTCATATCTGCCCTTGTTGATGTTTCATAAACTACTGAGTATAGTACATCTAATATTTAAAAAACTACATAGTAGCCTATAGTATGTCTAATATTTAAAAAAACCACATACTAAAGTATATATGTATAGAAGTATAGTATGTAAAAAACGATAAAGTATAGTATTTCTAATATTTAAAAAACGACTATAATAGTACATCGAATATTAAAAAAAATGACAGTCTGTTGAATATTTTTTAAAAACGACATAGTATAGTATTTCGCATAATTAAAAAAAACTACAGAGTACAGTACATCTAATATTTAAAAAACTACATAGTACAGTATGTCGAATATTTCATAAAAACGACATATTATAGTATTTTGCATATTTAAAAAAAATACAGAGTATAGTATGTCTAATATTTAAAAGACGACACATTTTACTATGTCGAATATTTCCAAAAAACGACAGAGTATAGTATGATGAATATTTCTATATCCCTTACTTTTAGAGTTTGCTACACCAATATCGTAATGCAACCTAGAATTAGAGTAAACCTTTGTTGTGTATTTTGGGTTTGGGATACCTTTACATCCAGCTCAGGCTTCAATGGTTCTCTTTTTATCTGCTGTTTAATTTTTTGCTAATTATCAGCGCTCAATGGTGGGTTGAAATGATTAGATATCAATTTTAAAATGGTCTATTAACTGCTTGATCTAATTATAAGATAAACACAGTTGTGTTTGTCTTAAGTTAATTGTGAAGAGTAAATGTTAATGTGGTTGTAACCTCAACATGCAGAGGCACACATTCTGTATTCTGGGAAAATACAGTAATATATGCAATACATGCAGCAGGGTTATTAGTCCAGAAACAAATATATATATAATAGGGAACAATCTTATGCACCGTTAACACTTAAATACACACTTTAACTTAAGTGAGGTTTTGATTGCAGGATGTTTACTGGGTTGTTTTCACACTGTGGTTTTAATATGTTTATTTCAATAACTTTGTTGAGCTTGTGTTTAGCTTTATTTCTATCTCACTGAACAAAGTCCCTGTATGTGAACTGGTGCAGCTGATCAGACCGGTTATGAATCAAGAGGAGGAGCTACACACAGGTGAGGGTGTTCAAGTCCAAGTAGGAAGTAAGACTGCCAGACTCCATTTTACAGCTCGAAGAGCAGGAGGACAACAGGGTGAGTGTTAACACCAGGATCTGCTTTCTAACACATTATTTACTCTGTTTTACTGGATGTCAGAACATCAGCGTCCTAGAGTCCAAAGAGACTTCTACAAGTGGTGTGAACTGGTTTTATTTCCTGTTTTCTGATTCATCAAAGCAACATAACATGCGACAGCCCAGCGCAGTCAAAATGGGGAGCGGCCTGTCGGAAGTCTGACTGATTTGAAGTTTTTTAACCAAGTGTTAAACTTTCCTGTCGGCTCCCAGACCGTAGTGAAGGAAGCAGGGGTGACTCTCTGCAGTCTTCCAGGCAGGGCCGCCCCTGGCCAACTTGGGGCCCCAAGCAACATTGTGAGATGAGGCCCCCCTCCCAACCGACAGGAGTGAAAAAAATAAATTGGAAACAAAGTAGTGTGGTGACACGTTATTGAACATAATTCACCTTCAGGCTTGTGTTGCAACACGGACCCGTTAAAGTGGGACACCGGAAGTTAGATTCATTCAGGCTAGAATGACATGCAGTAGCAACAAGTGTATTCCAGTCTTGTGATTCAATGTATAATAAAGTGTGGAGTTCCATACTGAACACACCGCCTCCAACTCCCATTCATCGGCTCTACAGTAGGCTACTTTGCAATATAATTCCTGTTTATTATTATTATCAACAGTTACTTGTTCATACAGTGAGGTAAATGGTAAATGTGCATGTATGTCGTTCAGTATGCGTTTACAGGTCAATACGTCTGCATTTCCTGCCAAATACTAGCCTCACAAAGATTAAAATATAATGAATGCAAATAAACTACTTCTACTAATAATAATAATCATAATCAATTCAATAATATAAATACTACATTATTATAATATAGTTG